CCCCCCCCCCCAAGCAACGCCCAACAGCCAGGGACTATCCAGCACCTCACCAGCGAGGGGCAAATTTGCAAAACTGCCATTGTCGGACCAAACATGGGCCAAGAGAACACGATCAGAACAGTCAACCTGGGCAGGGGAAAAGAGACACACGAACAGGACAGCATCTTCCAGAAGCGCGTCCGTCCATCCGCCCTACCATTCCAGCTTCTGCCTGAGGACCATAACGGTGGCTCCCCGCATGCAGTACAAAGCCACAATTCGGGGAGAGAACAAGCACGGGACAAAACAAATGTAAATGAAACCTAGGCAGGAAGGGCATCGGTGAAATTGTCGGGTGCTTTCCCGCCTCACTCGATGAGAATACATCGCTAGATCGCCAGGCAGATAGAGAGGTAGATAGAGAGGTAGATAGAGAGGAGAGAGAGAGGTAGATAGACAGGAGTAGAGAGGAGAGAGAGAGGTAAATAGATAGAGACGTAAATAGATAGAGGTAGATAGAGAGAGAGGTAAATAGGTAGAGAGGTAGAGCGCAAGAGAGCTAGAGAGAGATTGAAAGCTAGAGAGCAGAAGAGCTAGAGAGCTAGAGAGCTAGAGAGCTAAAGAGCTAGAGAAGAGAGGTCGAGGTAGAGAGGTAGATATATGAGGTAAATAGATAGAGAGGTAGAGAGGTAGATATAGACAGGGAAATAGATAAAGAGGGAGATAGATAAAGAGGAAGATAGAGAGAGGGAGATACAAAGGTAGACAGAGAGGTCGGTAGAGAGCAAAGAGGATATAAATCACAGGTTGATTGTTACCGGTGGAAGAAAGGAACGTACCATTTTGCCAATCATTGAGATATTAGAATCAGCCGTTCGCTTAGCAAGCACACACTTGACAGCCGAATGACGGAAATAGGCTTTGGTCTCCTCATCGTGAACATTCATCACGCCTTGTTTCATGTACTCATTGTTCCTCGATGTATTATCGTCCCAAATCATGAGCAGTACCCTGACATTGGCGCCCGCCTTTTTCTTCAACAATTCTCCCAGGGTTAGCTGGCTCCCATCACCCATCGGCCTTCTAGGGTCCCTAATCAGCTTGATCTTGTCATAGACCGACCACCCAATTATATAAATCATGAACTTAGCGTCTTGAATCGCGGCACAGATGTCCTCCCAGCACCTGCCGTGTGTGTACATTCTCCCACCGTCCAGCCTTATGCTCTCCGGGAGGGCCCCATCTGCCACGTGGGCATCTTGATACAGTGTGACACGACAACCCCGCCTCAAGGGGAAATAAGTACCCGGCACACCAGGCGCAGCCGCGGAATCGGACCTTAAGTACCCAAAGGCGGGGACAATTTGACCCGCCATATGGGGGACAAAATACCACCCAGGTAAACTCTGTGCAGGCTTATAATGACAGCTGACATCAACAAGGCATCGTCCCGGATAGCTGCTGCCGTCGGATTTTAAAATCTCGAAAGATCCGCCCTTGGGTTGATTAGCAACGGCCAAGGCTTCAACGGGAACACGGACGGTGCCGACGACACCAGCACCAATCAAGTTCTGGTCCTTGATGGTGAAATCAATGGTCCCAGTGAAATGCGCCACGTAGATGCTGAAAGTCTCATTCCACTGAGGATTTTCACAGTTATTGATGACACAGGTTCTTGCAACGCGAGCACCGGCAATGTCAACCACAACATACGGATCGCTGTGATTGCCAACGGCCTCGGTGAGTTTCGATCCCACGTTCATTACCTTGGAAAACATACCCAGAGAGCTCTTCATGAGATTCGTCGCCATTGTTCCCACCTTCGGGACATTTCTGGCGCGGGAGACGGTCAATAGGAGCTTGCCGTGTAACAGGACGTTGGGGTAGCTCCCGTCGATAGACGTCCGCGGCGAGCTTGAGCTCCTGGAAAGACCACCGAACGGAATCTTGAACGACATCCTCTCTCTCTCTCTCTCTCTCTCTCTCTCTCTCTCTCTCTCTCTCTCTCTCTCT